GCTGAGCATGCTTGGGGCCCACATGGGAGTGGAAACCATGGACTGTGAGGGGCATCAGGCCGAAGGTCGTGGGATTTCCCCACAGCAGCCTAAGGAAACAGGAGGGAAGGGGAAGATGATCCCTTCTGCAGCAAAGAAGAGCAGACCTTTGCTGCAATTGGCACACGCTTAAACTGAAGGCTTTATCTTTGGAGACACTGGCTAAGATTTTCTGCTCTGTGCTTGGGGAGAGTAGGGCCTTAGCTGAGCGTTAGAAATGGGTAAGAGCCACTCATCCCCGTCTTCTAGCTGTGGGGATGGTGTGTACGTCATCTGCCAATGTCTTATGACACCAGGTGTGTGGTTGATGATGGCATTTTCTGCCAAATAGTCAACTCTGTGAAGTGGTACGTCTTTGTAACTCCATGGTTCCTAGCAAAGATTTGGGCTCAAAATAGGTGCCAAATAGATAAATGTTGAATGATCTCCAACTGCAGATTCTACCTGGCATTCACAGCCTTCTGTGAGAGGCTGCAGCTCACCATTCCGGTTTATCTCCCAGTGCTTCACAACAATGCCAGCACCTCACAGAAACTGCCTCCAAACGGGCTCTTTCCTTTCTCACTTCCGTGCGGCCTAAGGAGCCTTTTATTAAGGGTGGGCTTTCTACCTGATGCACCCTGTCTCGGCTCCCATCCCTCTCTGCAGTCTCAGAATTACACCTGTCTGAATGGGAGTGTAAGTAGCTAGAGATGGAGGGCACTGGCGAATGTGTCAGAACATTCACTGGGGATTCCCGTAGACATGTCTAGACACCAAGTCCATGAAGATGACTGTGTGAAGGTGCCCATCTTAGCATCGTTTACAGTTGTAAAAATTGAAATCAATCTAAATGTACAGCAGGAAGGGATTAAATGAATTATGGTACATACATTTGGATATTATACAGTCATTGATACATAGCTATATTCATTGACAAGGAAAACATTTTTAAGTGAAAAAAGATTATAGAATTACATGTATAGTATGGTCTACATTTATACAAAATTATATATGGGAAGGATGTTGATTGAACTGTTATCTATGGTTGCCAAAGGGATGGAATTTTGCTTTATTTAAAATTTTTATACCATTTTATGTTGCTTGGAATTTGTGTATTATTTTTATAATCATAAAAATTAATAAAGTGTTTTCATTCTGCGAAAACAACCCAGTGCATCCTTTGAGGCCTACTTTATATGTACATTCTCCAGGAAGCTTTCCTTGATGCACTTTCCATTCTACACCCAGACTGGAATGGTAGCCCTACCTCCTTTGTAACTCTTTGTCATCCTCTTAAACCTCTGGTCTTTCTCACTCTTGTGGGCACTGTTATCTCTGAGATGATCTCATTAGCCTCTGGAGCTCGGAACTCCTTAAGATCATGGACTGTGTTGTTCCTACCCATCTCCACGTTCGCCCACAAAGGCAGCCTAAGGGGGCAATGACTGCCATTCAGCTCTGGCAATTATTGTTTTATGAGCCTGTGGGCCCAGATCTTGGGGTTTTTGAAGAGATCCAGAAATCAGGCCTGATTTGGGGTTGGCAGGAATGGTGCTTCAGGGGGGTGCCTGCAGGCTGGGAGGTGATCGCCACCTGCCCCGCACTTGCCCCAGACAGGACTCCTCCCCTTTGCCCTTGTCTGTTGTGGGAATGCCCCTCTGGCTGTGATGACCAGACTTCGGGAGCAGAAAACATCCCTCACCCCCAAGGCTGCTCCAGCCTCCATCGGATGCTCTTGGGGACCAGGAAAAGCACAGAAAACCACTGTCCAATCTGAGTCAGGACCTTTCCCTCTAGGGATGTAACCACCGTTTCCGAATGACTGCCCCTCCTAGCTTCGGAGCGCTCAGCTTCCTCTTTCATGTTGAGTGGCAGTGATGATGACCACAGGCGCCCAACCAGCAGGTCTCTGGGCAGCCTCACCAGAAATGACGACAAGGCACCTGGGAGGCGGGAACCTGTGTAGGGGCAGGGTAATCCCTTCCCACTGTGGAGCCTCACAATAAGAGCTGTCATGTGTTAAAGGCCTACTCTGGGCCTTTGGGCTTTGAAACATCTCGAATCTAGCATTAGGAACTTCCAGGTGGGCATCACTATCTGCATTAAAAGACTGAGGCTCTGGGACCTGAAGCAGCCTGTTCAGTCTCACGCCCCCCTGTCCCCAAGCTCAGAGGGAAGACCTGAACCCAATCTGCTTGACTCAGCTTGTCTGCCACACTGCAGAGAGGGATGGGAACCGAGACGGGGTGCATTCTCGACAGGGATGGACAAGAGGAACCTAGATAATAATCGACTAAGTCGTTCTTAAAGACCCGACTGAAGCCACACAGTAGACCTGTTAAGGACATGTTACCCACCTGACTTTTGTAGGCATGTGAACTTCTCTGACCTCTGTGAGGTACTCTCTCCCCAGACATGCACAGTGTGTGGCCCAGCTGGGGGCAGGAGCAGAAGCTGGAGGACAGGGAAGCAGCTTGGGTGAGTACCTGGGGACCATCAGTGGCAGAGACAAAACCTTGCTGAGAAACCACAGACAGCACCCAGAGCTAGAGTGGGTGGTGAGAGCACCTCAGTCCCAGACCTCAGGGCCTTTCAGCCTTTGGCCTGGCTTTCCTCTTGGCCTCAGTGCTTGGACCTGCAGCTCTTCACAATAAACCCCTGTGACTCGAGGGTTCCTAAGCCCATCTTCGTTCCCAGAACCTCAGCACTGGGCACACCAGAGGGCCCGATTGGTTGGTCCTGTGACAATCATTCTAAGTAAGGGGTGTTGGGAGTTGTAGCACCTTGAGAACAATCTCCCTGGGAAGCTGTGTGTCTCAGAGGCCTCTGCCAACCACCCCCCCCCACCCAGTCCGGGGTCATGTCTGAAGCAACTGAGCTGTCCTTGTCATCTGGGCAGGGGGGGGAAGGGATTCCTAGTAGTGACACTGCTGGCTGGAGCCCCAGGGCTACAGCCTGTGTGTCCCCTGAGAAGCACCCACCCTGAGTCAAACTGCTTTCGGGGCTGTGGCAGGACACGCTCATCAAAGGTGTTCTCCTAACACAACCGTCTCCAGGGCTCACTTCCCCTCCCGCGCACCTCTGTCAGATGAAGAGTTTAGACTCCTCAATAATTTAAGATGTTTTAGCAGCACTACTGTTTTTGTAGACATCTACACCAAAGTCCAGTATTCAAAACATAAAGGTATGGTGTTTTATTTTATTAAAGAGGTACCCATTAGGGGGCGCCTGGGTGGCTAAGGCGGTTAAGCATCTGCATTCGGCTGGGGTCATGATCCCAGGGTCCTGGGAATAAAATCTTAAAAAAAAAAAAAAAGATGTGCCCATTAGAAAGGCAATTAGTAAGAACTCAGAGGCTGGTAGGATGAACAGGATAGTTGCTGATTTACACCAAACTCTGCTCCCAATTTATTCTACCATTTTTTGGTTGCACAATATCGACAAAACCAGGACATTTTTTTTAAGAGATTATTTATCTGACAGAGCACAAGCAGGGGGAGCAGCAGAGGGAGAAGCAGACTCCCCACTGAGCAGGGAGCCCCATGTGGGACTTGATACCAGGACCCCAGGATCATGACCTGAGCCAAAGGGAGACATTTAACCGACTGAGCCACCCAGGCGCCCCAAAATCAGGAAAATTCTGATCACCGAGTTAGTAGTTAAAATAGTTCATTTTTAACCTAACCTTGCAATCTCAGGATACTGAAAGAGGAAGAGTAAAGCTTATTTGTGTTGTTTCAAAGTTGAATCAACAATATATTAGGATGAACCATATGTAATTGCCCATATCCTACCACTGTGACAAACAAAAACAGCAAATTCGTATAATTCAGTAAATAATAAGAGCTAACATTAATTTATTGTGTGCCAGGCCCCTGCTAAACCTTTTGGAAGCATGATGTCTTTCCATCCACACACAATGCTCTGCTGTGCAGATAAGGACCCCGAGGGCAAGGAGCTGTCTGAGCTTGTCCAGGTGACCAGAGCCTCCGGGGTCAGGTGATCAGGCGGCCAGGTCGCGGGTGGCGCGGCTGGGCCCCTTCGGGCTAGTCCGCCTCCTCCAGCTGCAGGCCCGGCGGGAAGAATGCAGCCTCTGTGCCCGGCGGCGCCCACCAGCCCAGGAGCTGCTTGTTTTCTTGAAGAGGTTAAGTCACCTCCTGAGCAGCGTTGGCGGAAGCCGGGCCACTGAAAGGGGCTTTGTGTGCCGGCTGCGGAGGGCCCGGGACAGCCAGGGCCCAGCCAGGGGGGCAGCCGCGGTCCAGCCCACCTGCGCCGCCCCAGACCGGGCCGGGGAGGGGACACTTGTGCCCCCAGCCCTCGCTGCCTTCTGCTTGGCGGTGACCCTCATCCCCAGGAGGCGAGAGACTGGTGCCTGCAATGTGGCCCCCAACCAGGAGCGGCCGCAGCGCCCCGGAAGGTGTGAAAACCGCCCACGCGCTCAGAAAACTGGGCTCAGAGCCCATTTGCGATTCAACAAGCCTTGTAGGTGATGATGATGATGGTGATGCCTGTGGAGGCCTGGGAACCACTGCTCTATAGTCTGATCTGGAAATACTCTGGCCAAAAAACCCAATGCTTTTAAGCCCCTTTCTCGCAGAAACTTGGAAATGAAATTCGTGCATTAGAGAGTGATGGAGAAAAGGCAAAGGCTTGTACAGGAAAACTCATTCTAAAAACAGCAGTCGCTTTGAAGGTCTACACACCCGTCCTAGAGTGTGTGGAACTTAGCTCCGTGTTCATCCACTACAGAAAATAAGCTTTTCCCTTGACCGTAATACGGGCTTTGGAGTCTACAGGAGGTCACGTATGCCTCTTTACAGGAAAATATTCTCCAGAACTTACCTCCCAGAGACATCCTAAAATGTCTCCAGGCCAAGGATCTTGTCTTTCTTCATTTGGATCTTCACTTGTGTACCGTGGAACACTGTGGAATTAGGAGCTGCGGGTTCACCCACAGATGTTTTACAAGTCAGGTGTATCTAATCCATTGATTTGAGGCTTCCCAGGAACACCTGAAAATTAAGCAAATAAATAAGGTGGACAACACTCCACACAGAAAGAGGGAGAGAGAGGTGTCTGACTCTGAAGGTAACCCCCCCTCTCCCCCCACAGGCCTTCCTCTAACTCCTCCCTCCTGCCTCTCTCCCAGGCCTTCCCTCTGCTCCCCAGCCTTTTCCCAACATCCTCTCCCCCATTCAGTCATAGAGGCTTTCAACCAACAAATGTTTTTTGAGTGTCTCCTGCATTCTTGGCATCATGGCAGCAACCCCTGACAAGACCAGGTCCCTGGCCTGATGGCAATGAGAGTCTGGGGCAAAGTCAGGAAAACTAGGGAGGCACACAATAAACAAACATTAACTATGTAATGGAAGACAGGGTGATAGGATAGGGTAAGTGGTCAGGAAGGAAGGTCTCTTTGAGGAGGTTTAAGGCCAAGAATTGGAATTTTTGCGCAAAGCCCACTAGGTAAGGAGTCAGGGAAGAGTGTTCCAGGGAGAGAAAACAGCAAGCGCAAAGGCCCTGAGGCAGGAAAGAGCTTGTTGGGTTTGAAGAACTAGAAGGTCGCTGTGGCTGGAGCCTGGTACATGAAGGGGAAGGAGAGGAAATGAGATGAGTGATGAAGGCAGGGCTGGGTCACTTAGAGCTCGGTAGTTTGTGGTAGGGAGGGTGGGTTTTGTTCTCAGTATAACGGGAAGCTTTCTGAAGGCTTGAAGCAATGCCTTGATGGTGGTTGGCGCTGCTAGTTAGAGAATGGACCTTGTATGATAGAGGGAGGCAAGGAAAAACAGGGAGATCCATTAGGAGATGTAGCAGTTTTCTGGGTGGTAGGAACAGAGACAGAGGGCCATCATTAGGACAGGTGATCAAGAAGTTTAGGGGCCTAAGGGTCCTGGGAGAGGACTCTCTGGCCAGTAGACAAGGAGAACAGGGTCTCTGAGTGATGGGGCTCTAAAGTGCAAGGGAAGAAATGAAACCCCAGCACTTCTGTTCATAGTGGGTCGTTTCCCTTGCGGGAAGTTTCAGCTTCCTGATTCTGGGGCTCTTTGTGAGATGGAATTTGGGGCAAGAAAGTGTGGGACAGAGTATTGGTGAGACCTGCTTGCCCCCTTTGGGGTCATCCTCTCAGCTGCTCTCTGGGAGTGGAGCTGGGGGTGGGAGTGGGGAGAGTTTCTGCTCCAGCTCAGAAGCACCTCTGCACTAGCAGGGGAGGAAGTGAGTCAGTGGTCCCCCAGTCACCAGCCCCTACCCCTAAGACAGGTGCTCTGCTTCCTCCTTCCCACCACAAGGCCTCTAGCCTCCCCGCCCTCCACCACCTGCCCAGACCTTTGTTGGGAGAAGTCAGAGGTGTCCTGAATGGGACTCTGCTGAATGGGACAGCTCCCTTATGGCTGAAGTGTAGGGGGCTCAGTGGGAGAGCAGAGGCCCTTTTTAGCCCAAGGGGTGCAAGAGTTCTGATTAAACCCTACCCCATAGCCAGGAAGGCCTTGCCCGAAGCGGTGGGCAAGAACGGCCTCGTGCCTTCTCCCACAGTCCCTCTTCTCCAGCCGTTGCCCGGTACAGGGACACCACCCACCTCTGCCTCCAGGACAAGCCCACAGGCTGCCATCTTCTCAGGCCCTGCTCTGCTGGGGGCTTAACAGGGATCATCTCAATTTTTATACACTCTTCTGAGGGAGGCCTATTAGCCCAATTGTGCAGATGAGAACAGGTCTACACAGTTCAGGAAAGCCAAGCTATCTGCCCTCCAACGCAAAGCCCAGGTCCTTAACCTGCTTCTTCCTGGCAAACTGGACCTGAAGCAGGTTGGGGCTGAAAGATAAATGCATGGATGAAAAAATAAATGAGTGAAGGGGCTTGTGGATGCTGGAAGAGGCGGACATCAAAGCCAGATTGCCCCAGTCCTCCCCAGGGGTCGCTGCACAACCAGGGTCCAGGTGAAAGATGGAGGGAAGGGGATGGGGGGCAGTCTGGTCCCAGGGATGGGTGTGAGGAACGCAAAGAACATCCCCCAAGGTAGGCGCCGAGGTCTGGGCCCTGCCTCCCTCCTTGTCCAGCGCCCACAGACCCTAGTCCTTACTAGGCGCTCAATAAAGAGTAGGTGAAATTTTGGCTCATCTGCATTCCTGGCAATTAGCGGGTACTCAGTAAATGTTGACAAACGGATGACTGTCCGCAGAAGGGTCCCCACCTGCGGCCCACTAGGCGCAGGGGGTTGGTGCTCGGCTCCCGCCTCCCCGCGCTGCCTAATCTGCCCCTCGCAGGACCGCGCGGCGCGAGGGAACGCCCGGGGCGGGGCCAATTAGGGGCGGGGCCTGCGGGCCCGAAGGGGGCGGGCCCCCGCCGGGGTCGGTGGTCTGAGCTGGGAGAGGTCTTGCTCCGAGCGTCGCGCTCCGAGGGGCTGGAGCGGGTGTGCGGATGCTGGAAGTTCACATCCCGTCGGTGGGACCCGAGGATCCCAGGCAGAGCCCAGAGAAAGGCCACATGGTGAGCGGGGACACTGGCTGGGAAGGCGCACGGGACCCGCCGGATTTCCCCGCGCCAAGCGCAGTGGGGATCCCGCGCCCGGGCTGCCGCATCGGAGCGCGGCGGGTCGGGCCGTCCGGAGACCGCCTGCCGAGGGTCTCGGGCCGCTTGGATTTGCCAGCTCCGTGGACGACGGTCCGGGTTCACGAGGGACTGCACGGAGCTGAGGGGCGGGTCCGGCCTCCCCATCTCCCCAAATGTGTGGGGAGCGTGGGAGGGTCCCCGGAGTTGGCGGGGCTCCCAGGCCGCTTTGTGCCTTTGAGCGCGGGAGGGCGGGCGCGTTGCGGGCGCGGGTCCTGCTGAGCCCGCCCGCGGGGCCTCACGCGCACCTGGCCGCCCGCCCGCGCCCGCCAGGTGTTCCGAGTGGAAGTGCTGAGCCGCGGGCGCAGGCACACGGTGCAGAGGCGCTACAGCGAGTTCCACGCGCTGCACAAGCGGGTGAGGCTGCGCCGCCGACCGACCGACCGACCCCGGCCCGGCTCCTGCCCGGCTCCTGCCCGGCTCCTGGGAGACGGGCGAACTGCGGGCCCAGCCTCTGCCACCATTACCGCCCCAGTCCCTGGAGGGCTCCGGTCCTGGGCACAGACCTCCCTGCGGGCTTCGGGGTGGGTGCAGAGGGGGGAGGGCCCAGCCTGTACCGTCGATGCCATCGCGTGGCCGACCAGCCCTCGGGCGTTTGCGGGGGGGTTGCTGGGGTCTCTCTCGCCCCCGTCCCAACCACCCACTCGCTAGCGTCTGCGCCAGGGTAGAGCCTGAAGTCTGGAGGTGGGGGCGGGGAGGACTGGGAGAGACTGTTGGGCGCAGTGAGCTTGAGGACTCAATCGGAGTACTGTGATGGCACCGCGGTAACCTCCTGGCAGATCAAGAAACTGTACAAAGTGCCCGACTTCCCCTCAAAACGCCTGCCTAACTGGAGGACTAGAGGATTGGAGCAGCGGCGGCAGGGCTTGGAGGCCTATATCCAGGTGTGCACGGGGCTTTGCCCCCCTAGGCTGCTTGACCAGAGGTGTGGCCCAGACAGCTGGGAAGGGGGGGTAGGGAGTGAAGGGGACCCACATCTTGAGCGTGCTATTTACTACCCCAAGCCTCAATATTCTTAACAGTCATGAGTCCAAACAGCCCTCGTATTGATAGAATGGGATGAGGTAACACGAGGCAGGTGGTTTCAGTTCGATGAAAGCTAGTTCTCTTTCCCCCAGGGTGAGGGTCTGTGCTACCCTCAATGCTGAGGATTTGGGTGGGGACCCTTCCCCCTCTCTTCCCCACACAGTGATGCCAGATTCCAGGCCAGGTTGGCTTCCTGGGCTTACAACCCATGAGTCACCCAGGGCCCAGTGCTCAGAAGGGCCCCAAGCTTGGCTTAATGCTCTGCTCGCTCTTGAAATTCTTAGTCATTTTGGAAGGCCCCCGCCTCTCCATTTTGCACTGGGCTCTGTAAGACAGCTGGGTCTGATTACAGGTTCCCTCTGATCTCTCCAGGGTGTCCTGTACCTGAACCAGGATGTGCCCAAAGAGTTACTGGAATTCCTGAATCTTCGGCACTTCCCCACAGACCCTAAGGCCAGCAGCTGGGGGTGAGCTCCTCTGGGGCCATGGCTGGGCAAGAGAGAGGGGCCCCAGTGCTTGGGGGGACAGGGTCTCTCTGCAGCAAGCGGGTGAGGAAAGGTTTGAGAAGCCAAGCCCTTTTCCTTCTTACATCGGCCAGGCACCAGCCTGCTGCTTCTTTGAGACGTGACCTCCCTCATTAGCTTTCTTGACCGGGGGCAGAGGGGCTAGTTTCTGGACAGTCTCGGTTACCGCAGCCGTCTCCGGAACTGAGCTTGTTGCAAATAGAAGCAGTGGTCCCCTGGGAGGTGAAGAGCTGGGCTTGCGTGTCTCCACCTCTTCCTCACGCGCGCGCGCGCCCGCCCCCCACCTCCCCCCACCAACCGCAGCTCACAGCGCGTCTCCTTTTCAGCGCCCTGGGGGAGTTCCTGCCCAATGACAGCAGGCAAGTCAAAAGCCCCAGCCGCCCCGCTCCTGCTGCCCCCTGGTGGCCGCGTGCCAGGAGGCGGCCTGCGGTTGTCTGGCCTACCCCACCCCCTCCAATCCCAATCCCGGTTTCTGTTGGTGCCTCCTGAGCCCACTTCCCATTCACCTTTTCCTTTTTGGGTGCTTCGTGATCTCAATCCCTGGTCTCTACCCTGCCTCTCCCTCACTGTTCGGGACTCTTCCCTCCTAGCTCCCAGCTGCACCACCGGCCTGTCTTCAGCTTCCACAGGGATCCCTACATTCGCAGCCCATCCCCAGGTGAGGGCCTAGGTACCAGGGTGGGAGTCGGGGGTGAACCTGCCATTTTCAGCTCAGGACCTCCAGGCAGCATCTCGTGCCTACTGCCTTCCTTTGGGACCACACCTGCCCTGCTGCTCCTGTAGCCTGCTTTGTGTTCTTCCGAAAGCAGACGTGGTGAAATAACCTTGGCTCTCCTGGTCTCAATTCCTCGCCAGCCCGGCTTACCAAGCTAAAGTGAACGGAATGTGTGTGGGGCATGCCAAGGCCTCACTGGGGGGTGGCCAGCTGTTACCTTTGACCTCTATTCCTGAGGAGGGGGCACAGCCTATGGGCTCAGGAGCTCAAGGAACTAGAGGCCTGAGGCTAGGCCCACCCCCCATCTTTTCTTCCCCCGCAGTCCCCTACCCCTTCCTCCTGTTTTCTTTCTGTCCCACAGAGCTTCTGCCCAACGTGGTGGTGAATGGCGTGCTCCAGGGCCTCTATGGCTGCAGCAACGGGCCAGCTGAAGCTCAGCCGGAGGCATCTTGTCACCCTGCTCCTTTGCCACCGATGCCCTGACCAGCCCAGAGGCCTATGGGCCACCTGCCAGGACAGGCATGTGCCCCCTTCTCAGAGGAGGCTGGGCCCCCCTTGGCCCAGACCCAGGACTAACCTACCCGAGGTGCCAGGGCAGGGACAAGAGGGGATAAGGAATAAAGGGAGAAGTCCATTTAGAGGTAGGCTTCGACAAGGTAGAGATGTATTTCTTCCCCTCCACCCGCAGGGGGGCGGGGGACAAGCAAAGATTGAGGCACCCTCATGGCAAAGGTTAGAAGGAAAAGCTCCTGCCTGCTACCTGTGGGTAGTTATCAGGGCACTAGGGTTCCGACCAGAGCCCCAGAAGGGGGCACAGGCCCCCCCCGCCACAGGAGGCCCAGACATGCTGGGACCGGGACTTGAGCAGGTGTTGCAGGCCCAAGAACCCAGCCCACACACTGGTTATAAAAAACCCATTTTCTTTTTTAATAGGTCAGCATTGGTAGGACTTTGTTACAAAACCAGGCTGGTAGGTAGGCCTGGGGAATGTGGGGGGGGGGGGGGTCCGCTCCGTCAGACGCCAGCACTGGGGCCAGTGGAGCACAGAGCCCTGCGGCGGGCGGTCTTCACCCGCGGGAAGGCACCAGGGCCGCACAGATGGTGGCGCAAAGAGGTCCCTGGGGCCCTACTCCTTGGCGATGGCAAAGGGCTTCTCCACCTCGATCTTGCCACAGTCTGCGATCGTCACATCCTTCAGGGGCTTGTCCCGACTGTCCGTCTTGGTGCTCTCCACCTTCCGTACTACCTCCTGGGAAGGCAGGCAGAAGCAGCAGAGCGGCATGAGTGCAGAGGTCCACCCCTCAAGGGAGAAGCCCCGGAATATGGCCGGGGAAGGCTGAGACCCCCATGGGACGAGCAGCATGCAAACCTTGAGGCACCAAAATCCCGACGGGACCCTAGACAGGGAGAGCCCAGCTTTGACGAGGGGACGCGGGAGTTTTGATCCTCTGCAGTGGGACCGGGCTGAGCTAAGGGCGAGGGGGAAGAGGGTGGCTGGGGAGTGGGTACCAAGTGGCTTCTCAGGGACACAGTGTTTGGCTGGGTCCTGCACACCTGAGGGGGGTGGAGCCTAGCAGCGAGTGAGTGAAACGGAGGCTCCTGCCCCTGGGCAGGCTGAGGAACTGAGAACCTGGGGGCAGAGACACGTAGGGTAGTTCCCGATGCCCTCCGGGTTTGTGCACATGAACACTGGGAAGCTGTGCGTTCCCTGTCAGGAAAGGGATAAACTAGGTGGCACCCCTACCCTGGGCTGTCCGTTTCCTGGTGAAGGTTGCTCAGGTTTAGCCCCTGCCCCTCAAACTCACCATGCCTTCCAGAACTTTGCCAAACACCACGTGCTTGCCATCCAGCCAGGCTGTCTTAACGGTCGTGATAAAGAACTGGGAGCCGTTGGTGTCTTTGCCTGCATTGGCCATGCTCACCCAGCCAGGCCCGTAGTGTTTCAGCTTGAAGTTCTCATCGGGGAAGCGTTCACCATAGATGCTCTTTCCTGGGAAGGAAGAGTAGGTCAGGGAGCTGAGCTGGCCCAAACCAAGCAGATCTTTGGGGTGAGGATTCCAGGGACTCAACCTGTCTTTGGTGTCAGGCCAGGCTCCAGTGGATTATAAGGACTAAAAGCTGTCTCCTTCCTACCCTCTGGTCTTGGAGCCAAACCATGCTGACAGACCAAGTGGGGCATGAGGCCAGGCTGATTTAGTGAACAGCTCACCCGATCAACTATTTTGAGGAATATAGTTTAGTGGCTTTTAAATAAGGCAAATATCAACAGCTACCCTTGGCGATGGCCTGGGAGGTCTGCCACCGGAACTCTGAGGTACTCTGGTAGAGAGAGGTGCTATGCAGGGGGCAGGGGAGGTAAGAACTCTCCAGAAAAGGAGGACAGCTGTGGTTGGCCAGCTTTTCTTCCTAACAGCACAGAAGATAACTGAGATGAGTGGGAGGGGCTGCCCCTTGGGTTCTAGATAATCAAGAGCCTCTGATCAATGAACACAAAATAAAAGCTGGATGTTGATGTGTGGGGTATGTCTATCCACGAGGGGGCTGAGGCCAGGGTACACAACAAAGGGAGCTGGGCAGACCCCGACACCATTTCAGAGATCCTCACCTAAGTTCCCGGAGCTGCTTCTGCCCCCTTCTTTCTCCCTGTCTCCTCTCAGGAGATTCGCACTGTGAGCTAGTGACCACAGGCCCTGGAGAAACCCAGGAACAAAGAAGCTTCATTTTGTTTTACCCAACACCTTTCAAACTCACTTGCGTACACAGCCTGTACCTATTTGCATCCCGTGGTTCCGCAGAAGGACCCAGCTGTGGAAGTTGTCCTGGACCGCGGCTCATCAGGGAGGCATTTCTGACTACATAGCAGGTGGGGAAGGCTAAACCCGACAATCACTAGACGCTGGGGGGGGGGGGGGGGGGCATCTCTGCCCAGGCCAGGGAGCAACCCAACCCTCTGCAGCAACTCCTGGCTCAGAGTCTCTCCTCGGTGAGAGTCCTCTTTGTAAATCTCCAGTGACAGCAGGATTTCAGTTACTGTTACTCTCCAGAAAACCCCACATCTCCATCCTTGGCTCTGATCACTTTCCCAACACAAGGAATCCCAAACTCAAACGGATAACTTCATTTTAAACTCAACCGATTTCGTCATCTTTCCCTCCAGACTCCAATTCTTCTTTTGACAACTTTTCCTTTGCAACCGTCCACGTGGCTCCCAGCCGCATTATCTATTCCTCCTCTCCACTCCTGCCATGCGCACTGCAGTAACGACTAATGCTCAGAGTGCAAACGGTGTATGCCAGAGAACCGACACGATCATTTTACACCCAGAAAAACTGCCACATTATTTTCCCTCAAACTCCTTTGCGCCTGGGTCTTCCTCCCATTCAAGCCCTCCGTGGGTCCTCCCTCCACGCAGGACAAACCCAGGTTCCCAGGTCCGGCCACGGCCCAGCACTCTGGGCCCTGGTTTGGTGTGTGCTCTCCTTCCGTCTCTGGACCCCACCTTCAGCCAAGCTCCTGCCACAGAACAGAGGTGGGTTCACTTTAGCCCTGCCTCTCTGCCCAGGTTCTCCCCAGCCAGGACCCTGCCCACATCTTCCCTCACATTCCCAAGGCGGCCACTTCTCGATCAGCCTGGCCCGAAGGGACTCCTCCGCTTGTTGGCACCTCGACAGTGACTGACTTGCCACATGCTGGACACCTACCATGCAGCACCCCAACTCTTTCCACTCTGACTTTACACCCGAAGGAACCCGAAGCTCACAGGACTCACCTGCCTGAGGTCACAGAGCACGAAGATGGCAGATCTCACCCAACTGTGTCCGACCCCGTGCACAGAGCGCTTTGTATCATGTCTGCTTTTTCTCAGGCACCGCGGCCGATGGCCATCACTCACATTCTGTCCTGTTCTTTGGCTGCCATGTCGTGTTCCCCTGCTTCCTCCCGCCTAGATGCTAAACCACCTGACAGAGCCTGACCTAGAGTCACTGACCCATGTGTTTAGCTTTGCTCCCCCTCCCCCCAGGGGGTACCCCGAGAGAAAAGCCACCAAGGCTGTAGGCCCTGGCCGGCAGGCCTGCTGGCGGGGTGAGAGCCACACAATCCCCCCCACCGTTCTCCTCTCCTTTGTCCTGGGGTCCCTGTACAAAGGAGGCTGGGTCGCCATGCGGGTGCCAATCCTGCCTCCAAGCTGGGCGAGCAGGGGGCCTCGTCTGCCCAGCACGGCCCAGCCTTCCCAGGTTGCAGGCTGCCCCAACAGACCCTGCTGCCCAGAGGCCCTGAGGTTACCTCCAGTGCCATCTCCCCGGGTAAAGTCTCCACCCTGGATCATGAAGTCCTTGATCACACGATGGAATTTGCTGTCTTTGTAGCCAAATCCTTTCTAGAAAAGGGAAGAAGGTGAGACGCAGCATGAGACACCAGGCAGATATTAAGTAGGCCCTGCAGGAACCCAGCCCACAGCTCCTGCTCCCAGAAGAGACACCACTGCTGATCAGATTCATCATTTGACCTGCTGAGTGAGCAGTTACCAGCAGGCCAGGCGCGGAGCACCACAGACCCAGGAAAGGCTAAGATGGCACGCTCCTCTGCTTTTATACAATTCTGCTTCACATGATGTCTCTACCTTTCCCTGCTCTTTTTCTAATCTTAAGAACAGATGCAAGAAAACAGACCAAAAAACAACAGTTACCTGCTGGGTCACCGCAAAGTTGGAATACAGACTTTTTCTTTGATAATTCTTTATTCTAATTCCAGTAAACATACAGTGTTATATTAGTTTCAGGGGCACGATACAGTGACTCAACAATTCTATACATCACTCAGTGCTCATCATAAGGGTACTCTTAATCCCCATCACCTGTTTCACCCATCCCCCCACAGCTCCCCTCTGGCAACCACCAGTTTCTTCTTAAGAGTTAAGAGGAATACAAACTTTCTTAAACAGGGCACTCCTGTTTCTTTAAGACCTGGGAAGCTCTGGGCCCCTTACCCTTAAGAGAAAGTTCTGGTGCACAAGCCACAAACTAGTTTCCATGGATATGTTTTCCTTGATTACTGAAATGTCTTAAAAATGAAAATTTTTCTTAAAAAAAAAAAAAAAATCCGTATTTCTGGATTTAGTTTAAAACCTCCAGCAGCTATGATAATACCAGGTTCCCAGAGCTGCAGGAGAGCGGTGAGCTGTTGGTACTTGGTGAGGACTACTGCTACAGACGGGCCCCGCTCTGCACATCCGTTCACTGTCAGCTCTACTTGCCAACTTCACTTGAGTTCAACTACCTCTGCTCCAGCCACTTACCTCTCCCGTGGCTAAGGCCACAAAATTATCCACTGTTTTTGGAACAGTCTTTCCAAAGAGACCGATGACCACCCGGCCTATATCTTCATCTCCAATTCGCAGGTCAAAGTACACCTGAGGAAGACGACCATTTCAAACTCAGCCTTTTTGAAGGGGTCTTGCCAGGGAAGCGAGGGCCCAAGAAGTTACCACGAAGGTGGAAGAGAAAGAACCGTATTTTGAGAGCAGTGGGTTCTGAACCTGATTTCGGTGGTGACAAAAACCCTATGAGAATCTGATGAAGGCTCCAGACCCTTTTCCCAGGAAATGTTTGTTTGCACTCCCTTTATAGGGTAGCAAACAACCTTTAGTCTACATAAATAATGAGCGCAGATTCTAGAAATGAACGTCCAAAAACCATCACGCAAGTTTCAACTAGATTGCTATGCTTTGTAATTGCAAGTGGGTAACATCTGGCCCAAGTAAAGAAAGGATTCACAGTTTGCCAGACGTGGTGTTTCACCATTTCCCCAGCGCTGGACGGTATTCGCAGAAAGACTGCTCTGAGGCTGACAGCGCCAGCCCCGGCTGCACATGCCGGGCGCCCGCTCCTGGGTTAAGGCTGGGGCTGGGGTGTCGGGGAGGAGTCGGGCATTCTCTGGTCTGAATGAGCAGGACCGCCCGGACGCCACGAGGCCACAGCCGGGAACCTAGGCAGGGGCTGAGCCAAAGCCGAGGACGCCCAGGCCTGAGCTCCGGGAGCTTAAATGCCCCGGACACCGGTGACCTGCGGCGCCGAGGCCGGAACGCGGGCGACGGGGGGGGTGGGGAGGGGGGTTCGCCAAGCAGGTCGGGAGAGGGGAGGACGGACCTTGACGGTGACTTTGGGCCCCTTCTTCTTCTCGTCGGCCGTCGAGGGACCTGGCAACAGCAGGAAGAAGACGGAGCCCACTATGAGGGCGGCGGCGAAGAGCACCTTCATGTTCCGCTCGGAGAGGCGCAGCATCCACCGAGCGAACAGAGCGCGGCCCCGGGAGCCGAGGGCCGGAAGAGGGTGGGGACGCGTCGGCGTGGGCACCGGCGCCACCACCGAGAGCGGCTGGGGGGAAACCGGGGCTCCTGCCCGCCTCCTGGCAGGAGATGGTCCTTATTTCCCCCCTCTGGGTCGGCGCCGGGTAGTAGGACCTCGCGGGGGGCGTGGCCCGGCCCGCCGTCAGGGCTGGCCAAGACGCGGGCTCGTGGGAGGCTGCCACGTTACTGTGGCCTCATTGGCTCCCCAGCTCGCCAACGCCCACCAACAGGAAAAGGATCACGGAAGGCGGCACCGCCCCAGGAGCACGCGGATTGGGTCTCCGAGGAGACTACAAACCCCAGCATGCAGAGCGGCCTCTCTCGTGGCCCGTCTTGCCTTTGGGGAGGGGAAGTCCTTCGGAGGTTAGTTTATGTTAGGAAGACCGTGGATGGGGGAGAAGGCGCTTGTCAGTTTCCGAATTGGGCCAGTCAAGCATTAGCCACCACTAGCTTGGGTTTAAGTATGGTAGCTTCCCAAAACTCGGAGCATGCTTCTGCTAACCCAGAGTATGACCTTATACTGCACCTTCTACTTGTCTTGCAAAACTTGCTTCAAAACCTTTCCTTTTTGACTTAGTCCCTGTCACTTTAGTCCCTGTTTTTCTCTGGTCTTACTGTGCTTACTGCTGTATGTATGAGTCAATGCACACTTTATTATTGTATTCTCTGCTTCTTAACTTCCTTTACCTATTTTTCCAAGTAAACAGTTTTTTTGTTTTTGTTTTTTTTTTAAGTAGGTTCCACTCCCAGCACAGAGCCCAATACCAGCTTGGATTGATGACCCTGAGATCAAGACCTGAGCTGAGATCAAGAGTCCGACACTCACCCGACTGAGCCAAGCAGGCGCTGCCAACTAACCACCTTTTTGTGAGCAACGCACTGTATTGCATGTGTTGCCCTTATTTTGTATACATCTCCCCCAACCCTGCTGCAGGGCTAAGTGTCCAACAAATATTGGTTGCAACAGCATCATATTAACACTGAAGTGGGAAATTATATATATATATATGAAATGGCCTGAGGTTCAGTCTCTCTTTTCTAGAAACCTTCAGGAAGGTCAGGGATAGTCGTCAGATGCTCTCACACTTGTTCCAGTCTACAACATACATATTTCATCACTGGGAGTCTTACCCAGAAAAATAAAAATTACATCTTTCTCAAATTTAAACCTATGACATTAAATGTCTTTAAAACCAATTTTCAAAGATTAATAAATTCTTGGTCTTCACAGCCCCAATTGTAGGTAGGAATGGCTGTTTCAATTAGTTGAACCCTGCAATTTGGTCTCTTTATGAGGTCGGGACCTAAGTTGGAGGTTATGCATGGCCACTGGCATTAACTTGTCCTTGCTTACACTGAGGTCAATGCAGCCAGGCTGCAAAGCTTCCACAGGTGTCTCAGAGAAACACGAACGACATTTGCTGTTTCTAATCCTCACACCTCAATCCAGACCACCTCGATCTGGTAAAGGTTCTTCTAGGTAAAACTGTTGCACTGACAAAGTTGATCTTCCAATACCCCCACCCCCCACCATTTTTTTAGTCAGGTCTCTTTCCCCATTGACTGGTCTGATGCTGTCCATGACCACTGAGAAAAATGTTCATCAAACTGTTTTCAAAAGAGCCTTCTCCACATGAGGAGCTAATGCTAAAATGGCATAAAAGCAGCCTCCTCTGTAGCCCCCCACCCCCCACCACTTTTGGAAGGAAAAAAAAGAAAGCTTGATGGATAAAATGTTCTAAATGTGAAGTTTTTCCTCTCATGATGATCTTAAAACATGTCTTCTGCTTACTTACCTACCAGTGAAAAAAACAAATCAAGTAGTAATTGAGTAGTAACAAAAAATTGGAACCAGCCAATCATGCCGATTGACAGTTGTTTTATGGATATACATACACACACACACACACACACACACACTTGTGATTTTATAATTGCACATCATAGTTTTATCCTCTATCTGTATAGATGTTCATTTAGTAGAGCAGAATTATAAAGCTATTCCAAAGCTGTTCCACAGAGTAGATCTTAACTTCCCGATGTTCTACCACCTAAGAACCACAGGGATACAGGAACCAGTATGTGAGTCATCAATGTCCAAGTTCTGCCAGGAATATTTAAAGTGACTGACAGGAGACAGCAATGTTCAACCCAAAGGAATGAAGCAAGAATGCCAAAGTATCAGGCATTATATTCATTCGTTGGAACCCTGAGTCATATCAAAGTTAATCCTAGCCGGATTCTTAGTTACAAACGAACCAGGGGAAATTAAAACCAGACAAACCAACCAACTAACCAAAGAAAATTAGTCAAGAAAGGTAAGACATTTTATTTTACATACAAAAAGGGTGCAAACTGAGTCCTTTCTTCCCCAAATTGGGGAAGAGGTATACTTAAAGATCACATTTGTGTTTTCCATGGTGCCCTAGGAAATGGGCTACTCTGAGATAACATATCAAGACCCATTTTCCATTTTTTCCAAAAAAGGCTACTTCCTCTGCAGAGGAGTTTCTCCTAATGGTGTACAAATCTTTCTCCCGGAGGAACCATTTCAAATACACTTGAAATTGACATTCATGTTTAAAAATACTACAAGTTTCATTTTTCACAGCTGAGCTTTGCGACCAGTGCCAGGGTTTATGAAACAACATCACATATCTAAAATAAAACAAAAAGTAAAAAAAAAAAAAAAAAAAAGGCATTTAACAATAATCAGACACATTCACACAGCAATTAAAACTGATTTCCACAGCTGATTTATACATCATCTAGTCTTAAAAAAATTGCAATCAACATCCCAACATCTTTTTAAAAGTACAACGGGCAAAGATTAAAGAAACAAACAAAAAAATATAATAAATTAGA